CACACCACCTGTCCCATACGGAAGAAATCAAGGGAGTAGGGAGAAAGCACCCGGTATTGCAGGGAAGACCATGGTGAAGAGATAACCAAAAGGTTTGTTTGTGATTCTGCAAGAAGCCAAGAGGTCAGGCTGAGACACTGAGGGCAAGCTAGCCAATGTTCTAATGTTCTCATTCGGGGAGAATATTTAGAAAGAAAAGGCATCAGCCCCGCAGTTAACTGTTTCAGTATAAGCACTCACCAAGAACAGGCAATGGGATGGTGGTGAGTAGCTGAGCCAGCCCTGGAGAGAGCCCAAGTCCCATGCAGAGCAACCCTACTATGTAGGCCACTTGCCGAGATCCAGCCTGTGTGAAGAAAAATCGAGAAAACAGCCATATCTTTTGGTTGTACCAAGTCTTTGCCTTCCATGTTCTTCATTATTTGGATACCAACTTAAATGCTTAAATGTTACCCTTCTGGAAATATCCTAGCTACTCTAAAGGCTTCTTTGCTCAGCCAATATTCCATTGCTTTGTTGTTGAATAGCACTTATCACTCTGTGAAATTATCTTCCATGTTTTCCCTTCCCCCTCTGTGAAGTCCCTTCCGTGAAGCAGGGCTTTACCTAATTTATCCTTCCCTGGAACCCTAGCCTTTGGCAAAGCACCTGATACACTTGAGGTGATTTTGTTTTTCACACTCCTCGCCCCTTACCACTTCTAAACCCTTGCCCACGTGAGATCCTAGGTATGGACTGCCTTACAAACGCTGGGTAAAGCTGGCAACTAGTCAATACGAGTTCCTTTTCCCCTCCTCCATCTCCAGTTCTCCACTCTAATCCCATGTCCACATACCTTGAAAAGACTCACTGTGCCCACATTAGGGAAGCTGGATGCAGTGCCCATGGGGCTTCCCAGAAGCCCAGCCAGCATACTGCCCAGGCCCTCCAGACTCAGCCCTCGACTGCAGGCATGTGGTGGTGGAGGAGGCAAATGCAGTAGCTGGCCACACAGGGCATAGCAGCCCAGGGAGCTAGTGGAGGCTGCTAAAGCCATGGAGATGCCTGCAGCCAAAGCCCTGGGTGTCAACAAGGGCCAGTCCCACTCACCTGGAGAGGGAAAAGGAGCTACCTTGAGGCCAGGCTCAAGTTTTAGATATCTCTCTGTCTCTAACAGCTGTGTCACAAGAATCCCAGATGTCCCCACGACTTTGAAACCACTAAACTCTAAAGAGAAAGACCTATTCCTTCACCATGGCTTACAAGGTCTTCTCTTCCCAGCCTTATTTCCTGCCATACCCCATCCCACTTCACTCACTCCAGACACACTGGTCTTGCTTTTTGGACTAGGATTGTCTGCGTTCCTGGCTACTACACGTTTTTGCATATGCTCTTCCTTCTACCTAGAATGCTCTTCTCTCCTGTCTTCTGTTCAAGTACTCCCACTCATCTTTCATATTTCTTTTTTTTTTTTTCTGGCCATGGGGCCTGAACTCTGGGCCTGGGCGCTGTCCCTGGGTTCTTCAGCACTTGAGCCACAGCACCACTTCTGGCTTTTTCTGCTTATGTAGAAAGAATCTCATCTTTCATATTTCATCTGAATAACCATCCATCAAAAATATCCTTCCCAGCCTCCCTGATGATGCCAAGTTCCTCACTGCTGGCTTTTGCCAGTTGTGGCTATTCCAAAACAGCAAGTTCAGATTTAATCCTCTGCCTATCTGCTTTGTATCTATAGTCACCCAATAGGCTGACATCTCCATGATGGCAAATGCTGCATCTGCCATGGCTATTACTTTTCTCTTCCCACATACTAGCACATAATTAGCATTCAATAGTGAAAGACTGCACTTGCAGCTCGGTAATAAGCATGCTTTCTTAGCATGCACAAGGTTCTAGATTGATCTCTACAACTGTGATAAATAAGTGATGAATAAGCAAATTTTACATACAACTCCTCAAAGGCAATCCTTATGTATAGGTTCCACAACTGAAATGCCCATGAGAAGTGGCAATATAAATGTGCAAATTGGGTAAGAAGTATCAAGAGTGAGCAGTGGAACTGGCCCAAACTTCAGATGTGTCTTTAACACTGACCCAAATAAAACCTTTGATGAGGATTGAGGTTGACATATCCTCTTGAGTTCAAAGAAATGGATCTCTTGATTTGAACAAGAGAACAGGAGCCTAGAAGAAAACCTACCCGGGTGAGGTAGCCAAAACCATGGTGCTTCGGTAGGGGCTGAAGGCTTCAGGGGGAGAGTGCTGAGATCCAGAAAGGCAGAGATGATCCACACACAGGCCACAGGGAGCAGTACCTAAGGGGCAAGACTGAGACCGAAAAGAGCCCCTCTCCCCAAGCCTTCAGAGCCAGGATTAGTAGGATAGACAGAAAACCAAAACTAGAGGACTGAGGGAGCATTGAAGATTGGCCCTTCTAATTTCAACTGCCCAGCTTCCCACCTACCGAGAGGAGCCGGAAGGCAGGGATATGAATGTGAGTTGAAGAAGCTGAAGCTGGCCTCCAGGGCCACAGAGGCACCTGGCAGGAACCCAGGTGCTGAGAACAGACCACCATGATCAGGATAAGCCTAGGAGAGAAAAGGAGCTTTGGAAGCCAGAGGCAGCAGAATCCTGAAAGATGGACATGGAAGCGTAAAGAATACCAAAGAAGGAACTTCCCATGGAACGGAGTAAGAAGGTACCCTGGGAGATAGTAAGAAACTGTGAATGCTGGGAGTCCAGATGAACCAAGGAAAGTCCTAGTCCTCAATTTTCAAATCTCAAGTGTCCCTGTCAGCTGGACATCGGTGGCTCATGCCTGTAATCCTAGCTACTCAGGAGGCTGGGATCTGAGGATTGTGTGCCAGTACAGGCAGGAAAGTCCATGTGACTCTTATCTCCAACTAACCACCAGAAAACCAGAAGTGGCTCTGCGGCTTAAGGGGTAGAGTGCTAACCTTGAGCTGAAGGACAGCATCCAGGCCCAGAGTTCAAGCCCCATGACCAACAAAAAAAAGAGAATGTCCAGATGGTTGCCAGCTCTAGTAAGCCAGCAATTTTGTCCTCCCCCACATCTGCACATCCCCTGTGACACCACCCCACACCTCTCAGAACTCACGTACAGCAAGGCCAGGCCCCAGTGAGCAGAGCAGAACTGTGCCACCTCCCTGTGGACAGAGAGCCCTGCCACAACCAGGCTAGGAGCCAGCACCAGGGGTCCACAGTAGGGGAACACACGGCCAGGAGCCCCCAGCAGCCCTAGTGTGCCCTGCAACAGCCCGGATACGAACACTGCCCCCGACACCTGGTAGAGGAGAGGAGAGGATGAATAGAAAACTTTCTGCTCAGTTAAGTTGACCTGAGACTAGATTTCCTAACTAAATTCAGGGTAAGTCCCCTGCCCAGACAACCTCCCTCACAGCCTCTTGGTGCTTGCATAATGGAAATAAGAGTCTCCCAAGCCTGGACCACCCGAGCCTTCTTCCCATTTTCAAGTATTCACCTCTCGGAGAGAAGTATTCCAGAGCTCCAGACCATGGCAGCCAGGTAACCTGCACAGGTGTAGTGAGAGGGAGGCTGGGAGGTATTTGGGGCACAGAGAGGAGAAAGATAAATGGGATGGAGACCTATTGCTCTTCAGTTCTAACTCATGCCTGGCATAGTTCCCAAGATACCTATAATGCCTGGAAGTCACACCACTGCCCACCCACAATCCTGAACACCCCCTCCCCACCTATACTTACAGGAACACCCAATCCCTCCCTCCCTTGTCCCTCCTATACTCACTGTTCCCAGGGGTGTGGATAGCCAGAGGTAACTTCTGAGTGGTCAGCACCAGAGCAGGAATAAGGAACTCAAAGGATGGAGCCTGGACAAGGGGCAGCCTGTAGGAACAGTGGCCCCAGAAATTCTGGAAATGTGTGGCAGCAAATAGTTTCTTCTTCTCCTAGGACCCTACCCCTCTCCAGGGGATGGGGGTTTCCCTCACCTGCTGCCTATCCAAGTTTGCAGGATGGTAGATACACCACATGAAAAGAAGCTGGAGGCCAGGAGCAGAGCAGGTGAGGAAGAGAGCCCTCCTGGGGACAGACTGTGAAACAGAAGCAGGTGGGAGGCACAGAGCAGTGAGGCCAGGACCAGGAAATGCTGCAAGAAGAGAAATAGGGAAGGGCTCAGGAATAGGTGAAAATACTTATTTCTAGAGTTTATGTCACATGGACTCCTTCTAACCCCCGCCCCCCATCCCTCCTTCAACCAGCACCAACTCCTGCATGTCTACCTCCTACCTGCAGAGCGAGAAGACAGCTGAGACCCCAAGTGGGAGGCCCCCATCGAAAAGCCCAAGAGTGGGAGGAGGGGCTCTGGGAAGCAGGAAGCAATGGTGGCAGGGGAGCCAGGGCATTCTGGGAGCCCATGGATAGGAGTGGGATGGGATGGAGAGGTGATCTGTTCATGCCGCCCTGCCTTTGCTGTGTTTGGCTGCCTTGGACTAGAGTTAAATAAAGAGGTCAGAGTTTGGTGAAGCTAGCTGCCTGGAGTGGGGAAGGGGTGGGAGTGTCAATGAAGCGGAGAGAAGAGATGAGGGTTTGGGACAGGACATGGCCCTTTCACCTTTGCCCAGCTCTTGTGCAAATTCCATCAGCCATTAACTGAGGAGCTGAGTTCTGGACCCCGCCCCCCAAGGATCTTCATCCAAATCTCATTCCTAGATCAGGCTCTGGAACGAGGGCGGGTTGAGGAAAAAACCTACTAGCATAACCTGGAGACATTTTGCATATTATCCCTTCCCACCACCATATCAGACCCACAATTCACAGCCATTCCAGAACAGGACCTGGACAACCTCAAAATGAAATTATGTCCTACATTCCACATGACAATGACAACTCCGTATGTTCACTATAATGCAAAAGAGAAATAAAATTTTTAGACATATCTCAATATGTGAACGTTTAGGCACAAACAAATCAGAAGACAATGTATCCATATAAAGAACCACTATGGATGTGACAGTTAAATACTGGTGGCTGATAATGACACTTTATTAGCAAGTCATGACCCAAGTAGTACTGACCTGGTGAACTGCTTTTCCAAAAAGGTGAACAAACTCTTGATAACATGTAGAACAAAATTAAGTACAGTTTTAATTTACATGGTTGTGTATTCCTGGCAGATTGAGGCTTTTCCCCTCCCCCAAAAAAAAGGTGCAAAGAAAGAATAAGAAAAACAAAAGTTTGGTGCTGGTGGCTCCTGCCTGTATTCCTAGCTGCTCAAGAGGCTGAGATCTGAGGATCATGATTGGAAGCAGTCTAGGCAGGGTCTGAGATTCCAAAAAGTAAAAAGTGGAGCAATGGTTCAAGTGGTAGGGCTCCAGCCTTCAGCTAAACAAAGATAAGAGACAGTACTTAAACTGAGTTGAAGCCCCAATACAGGCATAAAAAAAAGTGAAAAAATGATTTCATATCTGCATGTAAAATGGTATAGTTTTAGGTTTGGCCAGAATTGATGACAAGATAGAGGAACTCACAGGCTAGTCAGGCTATATAGTAAGACTCTGCTTCTAAAATAAAAATACAGTGTAAGGCTCAGATAAACAGTTTCACATATGATTATCAGCTCATCATTCAAAATTTATCTTGCAAATTCTTCATAGTAAAGAAAGTTTTTGAGCTTTTTAGGGTATCTAGTATCCTGGCTCATGCTTGAATGTCAAAGAGCATACCCACCCCTACCCCCAACCCCCAAGTCCTTGTAACAACCAAAAAAAATGTCCCATGTCTGCAAAATGCCCCCTAGGGGGCAGCAGCACCATGATGTGGATGATGGTCAGCAATCCAAATACCCTACAGCCAATGGTCTAGACTCTTCTTCCAGTAATGATCCAGCTCTGGTTCTTTATTCATCAACTATCTCCATGAGTCCATCTGGTAGAGAGGTGAGTGTAAGTCTTCAGGCTTGCCCTTAAGGAGCTCAGGGGTCTCTGCTTGGCTTGATCCAAGGATCCACAAAGCTGGTGCTCACCCAGAACGTGCAACAGAGCCAACCCCAAGCAAGGGATAGCCATTTTTGTCCTGTGCCAGGACAAATTGAGTGCAGCTAGTGCTTTAGGATGCTGGGAGCAGGGATGAGGGGTAATTTGAAACAGGAGGTTTTCATAGTCTTATCAAATACGGAGGTCCTGAAACATGGCTAGCAAGATGATAGGATCAGGAAGGAGGGAGGCTTAGAGGTAGATACAAAGAGGATCTTTAAGGGCTGCCGCAGAAGGAAAAGGCCAGGCCATGCAACAGAAACTGTTTATTGAAACTTCAGTTCTACAAAAGCGTGAAAAACCCAGATACAAAGCAGTGGCCAGAGAGGCCTGTGAAGAGAACACTTAGGGAGGAACCAGAAAAGAGGAAAGTCTTGGAGTAGGAAACTGAGGTTGGAAGACAAAACGTCAAGGCTGAAGGTCCCACCAGTATCTGGCTCCATTACTACATCCAAGGGATGGTTATGGAAAGCTCTGCCCCCTCACATAGCCTTCCTGTAGCAGCTACTACTTGGCATTGTCAGTCCCTGGCTCTCTGGCTTCAGGGACATCACACAGGCCCATGTCAATGTTTCCTTCCCCCGCCCCCTCCCTGCTTCCCTTATAGCCTTCCTTTTACCTTTCTATCCTAGGACACTCAAAAGCCGTCTGTAAGAACCTTGGGGAAGCAGAGATGGACCTCCTGGCCCCCTGGTAACTGAACTGAGGCTGCTCCAGGCACTATCTCTGCCCTGGCCTGCCAATCAGTCTCTGAGCTCTAGGAGAGTACATGACCTTCAGTCCCTCTGCCCACAACCCCTTATGCTCCTACCCAGGAGGACAGGGAAACACCAAGGACCCAGAGAGGCAGCGGAGATCTAATCAAGCTTCCTTCTTCCAGATCTAAGGAACTCCCAAACCCTCTTAGTACATCTGTCAAAACTCTACCTAACCTGGGAAAATGAAAGATTTGAGGCGAGCCAGTTCCATGACGCTGAAAAGGGAACACTGCTGGGGTTGAGGGAACGGAGGGGCCACAGGGCTCCAGGCCCAAGGTGGGGCCAAGCCATAGGTGTGGTCCCAGGGGCTGGAAGGCCCAGTGGGTACTGTTCGGTTAGGGTGTTGGCAAGCATGGCAGGTGGGAGGATCTCTCTGGAGGTTCTGGCAAAGGGGGCAGTTTTGGAAAAGAGTGGGTGGGGCAGGGGGCTCTGGAGGAGGAAGTGGTGGGGGAGTCAGTGAGGCAAGAAGACTGCCCCAAAGTGAACGCAGCCCTGTGTCGCCTTCCAGGCAGCTGGAGATGTTAGCAGAAGACACTAGGCACTGTGTCACAGGGGAAGGTATACAGGGCTCCAAGAAGCCCTTGGAGACTAGTCCAAGGTTAGGGGGGCCAGGTGATGGGCTGCAGGACAGCCCCAAGGACTGGTGTATTACAGCTACTGATGCCACAGCAAAGGCCACACTGCTCACATACGCCATGGCTAATAGGCAGGACAGCTGTAGGAAAGAAGGTAAGAAAACCAGTGGGCTACTGACTTCTTGCACTCACGAGTATGCACGTGCACACACACCCCTCCTAGTCTCTGAAGTTGGAGCTCCTTGAATCCCATGAAGCCTCCCCATTCCCATCTATTTCTAATCTCCTAACCCTTTTGGCATTTGATTTTTGTCATCCCACCCACCAGCCTGCCCAAGCTCCTCTTCTCCCTAATCCCCCCTCACCTTAACCAGCCGCTGGCAGAGGAAGCCAAGAGCCAGTTGCCAGGTCGGCTGCTCCAGCAGCACACACAGGTCTGTGTAGGTGTACCAGCCCCGCCGCCGACCCTGATGCTCAGCAACACTGGTAGGAAAGGAGGACAGAGAGGAAATCTGCAACTCTTATCAGCCAGTTCAGGGGTACCCTCACACCCGCCAGGGGCCATCAGAAAGCACTGGAGAACTAGTTAAATGTATAGATCCAGAAACTGAGACTTTTGTGTATGTGTGTGTGCCAGTGCTGAGACTTGAACTTGGTGCCCCATACTCTCACTTGGTATGAAGCTTTGCCACTTGAGGTTTTTGCTGGCTAATTGATGATAAGAATCTACAGATTTTTCTGGCCAGGCTGGCTTTAAACTTCAACCCTCAGACCTCAGCCTCCTGAGTAGTTAAGATTACAGGCATGAGCCACCAATGTCTGGCTAAGACCTGAATTTTAAATGAGTTGCAACCACCCTCCCAAAGGAGGGCTGATGGGTTTGGGAACAACAATCTTGGGCAATTCTGTCTGGACTCCTCCTTTCCCCAAGTTACATAAATGCTCATATCTAGATCCTATCACAGTTTACCCTCTAAATCCCTTGGGCCCTCTGCCCACTTCCTAGAACCTACCAGCTCTCCAGCCAGCTCAGCACCTCAAATATCTCTCGAGGGTCAGTGTAGAGATGCCAGTCCTATGGGTAAGAAAAGGGAAGAGCATAAACCAAACTTGGATATGAGCCAGTGAGCTGAGAATAAGAACACAGGAAACAACCACCACCACTACCACTACTGATACTTACCTAGAATTTACATGTGCTAGATACTATCCTGAGAGCTTTTTTTGTTTTAAGTGGTGTAATCACCACAACCTGATTTCAGATTACACTCTCATTAAGAAAAAAAGAAGAAAGCCCGGTGCTGGTGGCTTACACCCATAATCCTAGCTACTCAGGAGGCTGAGATCTGAGGACTGTGGTTCAAAGCGAGCTCAGGCAGGAAAGTTCATGAGACTCTTATCTCCAATGAACCACCAGAAAAGTGAAAGTGGTGCTGTGGCTCAAAGTGGTAGAGCACTAACCTTGAGGTGAAGAGCTCGGTGACAAGGTCCAGGCCCAGAGTTCAAGCCCCACGAAAGACAAAAAAAAAAGAGGAGAAAATAATCCTGAGAATAGTCTGTGTCCTCAGGGAGCTCAGAATGTAGGAGATAAAGAAAGATTGGAAGCAAACACTCAGAGCCCAACACCACAGGCTTTGACTCAGTGTGTGACTCAGAGTGCCCTGTGGGGCCCTGGAGGAAGAGGAGAGAAGGAAATCACTCCTGACCTCACAGCTCCAAGAACCTCTAGGAGGTCAGTCCTAAAAGGATAGAAAGGGAAGAGACTAACACAAAGGCACAAGAAGAGTAAGCAGACAGATAATGACATTACTGAAGGTTGAGTAAAACACAAAAATGACAGGAAGGTAAAGATTGACCAGGAAACCAGGAAAACAGAAAACAAACACTCACCATGGCACTCAGGAAGCCCCTTTCCAAGGCATTAAGAGTGGGTACTGGCACACCCCCAGCAGCTCCCCATTCATCATTGAAGACCTCTTCCTCCTCCCCTTCGTCATACAAGTACTTACTGGCCACCATCTGCAGAGAAATCAGAAGTGTCCTTGGTAGAGTACACAAGGGGTTCCTGACTCACTGGGGAGATGAAAGGGGGGGAGGAGGGAGGTGAAAGGTACATTACCATGGAGATCAGAAACAAGTCAGAGGATGATACATGCTGCAAATAGTCTGGGTTTCGGTGCCGGAGCCGTTCAATGTACACCAGAGCTAGCATCATAGCACAAGGGGAGATGCACGCCTCTCTAGGATGTAGAAAGAACCAGTATTAAACCCAAGGGCTGCCGGGCACAAGTGGCTCATGCCTGTAATCCTAGCTACTCAGGAGGCTGAGATCTGAGGATCACGGTTCAAAGCCATCCCGGGCAGGAAAGGCCGTAAGACTCTTATCTCCAATAAACCACCAGAAAACCGGAAGTGGCGCTGTGGCTCAAGAGGTAGAGTGCTCACCTTCAGCTGAAGAGCGCAGGGACAGTGCCCAGGCCTAGAGTTCAAGCTCCGCAACCAACAACAACAAAAAAAAACCAAAGGCTTTTGACTTCTGTCTTTACATCTTCTCTTTAGGGTCAACCCCTTCTCTAGAACCCAAACATCATATACTATCCTTTCAATTCCAGGCTCACCGAGACACATGAGCCACATATTTCTTCTGGAGTCTTCGGATTGGGCTGGGGGCTGCCTTTTGGAGAAGTTCCACAGCAATGTCTATAGGAAACAGAAGCAGGGCAGAATGAACAAACAACTCCTTCTCTTCCCACTAGTCCCCCAATGAAGACACAAATCCATGCTGACTGAGGCCCTTAGGACAAGACCATAATAACAAAATAGATCAAATTTTCCCAAACTAAGACAAAATCCCATTCCAAGAATATAGCAGAAAGCTATATTCTTCTGGTATTATTATAATCATTTCACCTTTATACTGCACAAGGAGGTTTCAATTTAACATATTCATTTATATGTACAGTGCATCTTGATCAGTCACCCCATCCATCATTCACACACACACACACACACACACACACACACAGCCCATTCCATCCATATCATTTTTCACTTCCACTTTCACTTAAGTACATTACATATTTTGACTGTACTCACCCACCATTCCTATTTCAGTCAAGACCTTCAATTTACTAATATTTATTTTGAACTACTTATTGTTCAAAGGGTAAATTATTCCACAGAATCTCACTCTTGCTTATATCATGTTTTATTGCCCTGTATCTGTTTACATATGCTTAATACTTTAAGCATAACACCCAAATATGACAAAAAATGTCTTTTGTCTTTCTGAGCATTGCTTACTTCACTCAATGACTTTTTTCAAGGTCTATCCATTTGGCTTATTGTTTTGTTACATAAATTAAACATACTTATCTTTCACTGGTGTTCTTCTGAGAAATCAAGCCTTGTTTATTTGAGAACATATAATAAAAATCCTTAGGAAGTTAGTTTCTGGTATACAATTTTTTAAAAAAAAGTATCAGGGCTGATATTATAACTTCAGAGTGGATGGAATGCTTGCCAAGTATGTGCAAAGTACTAGACTGATTCCCCAGCAAGAAGGGGAGGTAAGAATGAGTGCTAGCAATATTTTTTTATTCACGTGGCCTTACTCACGTGGGATAAAAATAACGTGAATCACATTACATTCCAGTGATGATGAGTGAGCACGGCTCCCAGGGTGAACCTCCAGGCATCTGGCTGACTGTTGACAACCCCATTCTCCTGCTTCTCATTTGCCCAGTCACACAACCCTGCCTAACCTGCCACGGGGCTGGAGAGCTCCTCCAGGCTGCAGTCCGCCTCCCAGTCCCAGCCATAGTACAATCTCCTTCGGATTCGGGCACTCAGCTTCTGGTGTCCAGGGAGGAACTGAAAAGGACAGGGAGTGGTAGAGGGTAAAGGGCAGGGCAGGGTATATTGGTGATCCTGGCTCAGGCTGGAAGGTGGGTGCGGGGAGGCAGGCCTGGCCCCGAGTTCTCTAGATTGTTTGACGATGGGACACAGTATGGGAGAAGATAGTGTGCCCCCACAGAGAACTCGACAGATGATTTTTAAGACGCCCCCATCAATCTAGCCAGCCCCACATCGAGGCCCTGCCTCAGGGCCCAAACGACCGAGGCCTCCAGTAAGCACCACTCCTGCGGCTGTCGCCCAACCTGGGCCACAGCAAGCAAGTGAGCCTTAGGTCTACTTGGGGGGGGGGGGGGGGGGCGCAGGGGAACGCCTGGGCGCCCCGGTTCCCAGCGGCGGGAGGTCGTGGGAGGAGGCCGGCGAGTGCGCTCACCGTGAAGTCCTGGAAGCCGGTGAGGGAAAAGGCACCTTCTTCGTCCAGCAGGAGCCCGGCTAGGTCCATCACGCCGCCAGCCGCCGACCTGCGAAGGTAAAGCCGAGGGAAGAAGTTGTAAGCGGCCGGCAAAGCCGTCGGCGCCCGCCGATCCACCTGCCCGCTCGCCCTCCGGCCTCCCCCCAGCGGCCGCCGCCCTCGCCCGCGCAGCCCCCTCCCCTCACAGCAGCGGCGGCGGGCGGGGCCGGGATCACCCGCGGGGCCTCTTCCTGTTCCGCCCCGGGCACCGCGGCTCGAAACCCGGCAGCTGCCGGCCGGTGCGGCGGCGCTCACCTCGCGGAGTACCGGGGAGGGGGGGGGGGGGGGCTGGCTGCCAAGCGCGTATTCTGTCCGGCGTCGCGTAGCCCCGCGTTAAAACAAGCCGCGAGCGCGTCGTCGGCGAGTCAGAGCCTGGCCGGAAGTGCCGCCCGCCCAGCCCAGCCTTCCACCCGCAAGCCCCGGGAGCTCCCGGCCAAGTCACCGAACAGAGCCCCAGGCGCCCTAGACTGAGAATCGGGGACCAGTTCCTAGGGGCCCACACTATACCGAGGGCGAACGGTTCAGGCAGATCTGGTAGCGATGTCGAAGTGCTAGCGTGGATAAAGAGGAGAGGTGGGACGGACAGTTGCTGCCGGCTGTCTGTTTAAATGAGGGAGAAGGACACAGAGATGGAAAGCCAAAGGGTGAACAAATGCAGCAATGGCACTCACTGGACACTACGATGAAAATGAACTGTACAACCTGTGGGTCGGGGGTGGGAGGGGAAACTGGGAGAGAGAGGGAAAGGGGTGCCATTGTCCAAAAAAGAAACTCATTTCCTGACTTACGTTAACTGTAACCCCTCTGCACATCTTTATAATAGCACGCATTTTAGGGAAAGGGGGGGGAGGAACGTACATACAAAGAGATCCGTAAACCTCTAAAAGGATCCGAAAAAAAAAAATCAGTGGGAGAACTGGGTAAGATGGAAACTTAAGCTTTTCACTGTTGCACCTTAGTAGTTTGAAGACTTTAAACCTTGTTAAACATATGTACTCTGAAAGGTTATTCCGGCCATGAGACAATCTCAAGGGAATAGGAAGACACAGCCCCCAAAGTAAACAATACCTAAACAAGGTCCGCCCCGGCTTCCCGCCGCAGGATCCCGGGAGAAAAGAGCGCGGATGTACGTGGCGACCTGGAAGCAGCAGCTTTTCGGGGATGGGGGTGAAGCTGCTTCCAAGTCTGACGAGTCACTCGCTAGTGTTTGTTTACCCGCTGAGGGGAGTGGACCGGGCGCCCCGGCGGGTTGGAGGACGCGGACGGTCGCCGCCCTTCCGAGTAGCAGCACGTCCTACCCCGGATACGGCGCGTCCGGAACCCCACTTCCTGACCCCGCAGTCGGGATCACACGGGGATTCACGACCTCCCACCAGACCTCCCAGTCACTGTGACGGTACGGGAAGAAGAAAGCCGGCAGCACCAATTGGACCCTGACCCACGGGTCACGGCAGGGCCAACCAGAACACGCACCTGCGTAGTGAAGGGTTAAGGCAGCCGCCCGTGCGCACGCGCGAGCCGCCCATCCGGGCGGTTTAGTCGCGTCACGTGACGGGCTCAGCGCTCTGAGATCATGTGACACCCGTCTGCAGGCTCCGCTCCGCTCTGCTTGCGCCCCCTTCCGCTTGACGCGCCCCCGGCGGCGGCCGCGCAGCCCTGGCTCCTCACGGGCTCGGGCCAGCGGCGGCGGCGGCGGCGGCGGCGGCGGCGGGGATATGGCGAGCAGCGGCAGTGGTAACACCGGGGCGGGTGGAGCCTCCGGGCTGGGCCTCGGCCTGGGTCTGAGCCTCGGCATGGGTGAGGCCACCGGCGAGGCGGAGGAGGAGGCGGCCACGGCCGAGGCGGTGGGACGCCTGGCCACCGCGCTGTGGCTGCGGCTCCGCAGCTGGGAGGCCGTGCTGGCGGCGGCGCAGCGGCTGCTGGTGTGGGAGAAGCCGCTACACAGCCTGGTCACCGCAGCCGCGCTCAACGGCCTCTTCTGGTAACGGCCGCGGAGGAGGGGGCGGGGCCGGGCTGCGCGGGAGAGCGGGGGCGGGGGACCCGGAGCACCTTTCGGCTTTGTGGGCTGTCAGCGGGCCTGAAGCGATGATCGTCCCCCAGGTTTCGAAGGCAGCCTCCTGCCAAGTTGCCCGAACGGTTCCTCCTCAGTCCGGGCAGCGAGTGAGGCCTAGAAGGCTAGTCCCGCATTACGGGGTGCCTTTCCACCTTATGCGATGTACGCTGGATCCTCGCTTGCCTCCTCTCAGCTGAAATGCCTGTGTCTCCCGAAGGTTGTTGTCTTCGTCGTCACTCCGGCCCTTCTTCCTACTCAGCATCTCATTTTTGGCCTATTTTCTGCTGGATCACTGGCAGCCTGGCTTCTTCCTTGACGTTTCAGGTGAGTGTCTTAGGCAAGCACCGTCGTGCACTTGCTTTGTGCTTGACCCCCGCCTGGGTGGGGTTTGAACAGTGAAGATGTTCTGCCAGCCACTTGCTTCTCAAGCACATTGGCCACCTCTTTACCTCTGTTTTAGGAGTTTTCCTAAAACGGGAATTGCCTCTTTTCCAACAATTAATGTACCTGTGTTGTGGTAGTTAAGAAAGTGAAGTCTGCAGCCAGCTCACCTGGATTCCATTCCCTGATCCGCCTCTTAGCTTGTGTGTGGACCTGAAAAGAGTTGTTCATACTCTGCCTCGGTTTTCCCATCTATAAAACAGGGATGACACAACTTTACAGATTAAGTCCATTCATGTTATGTGATTATGGTAGTGCTTCACTTGTCTTAGGAATTGAATAACTATTTGTTGTTTTTTGCGTTTTCTGTATTTTGTAGTTAGATATCAGGCTGTATGAATTGCTAGATAATATAAGCATGGATAAGATGTGATTCCCATGTTTGAGAAGTGTAAAATGAAAAGAAGACAAATACAATAACAATGTGTAATACCTCCTGCTTTTGGTATCTGAAGAAGGTGCTATGGGACTAAGAGGAGGGGTAGCCCTTTCTGACTATCTTCCCATACTCCTAGCCACCTAATATGTACCCCCCTAATTCTCTCTATAGCATCATCCCCTGAGGAGCCACACTCTGACAGGTGGGTACCTTTTGAAGACAGAGGCCCAAATCTAGTCTTGCTTATTGGTTCCTCAAAGAGGAACAATGCTGCAACTTGTGTAGGCACAATCCTAACGTAGTGAAGGAACAGGCAGCAAACTACAAAACTGTACTTGGTCCTGGGCTCCTATGCAGGTGTTTATGTGCCAGCTTCTTTTGAGTCAGTGGGTTGGGTTCCCTGGGGCTTTGCTTCCCTGGACTAGTACAGTCTCCCTTTGCAGAGGTGGGATTTTCTACTTGGTTAGACTGATATTATCAACAGTCTCAGAGAGATTTGAGCTACTAGGAAGCTGGTCTCTGAGGCCTCCAGGGGTCATATCATGTCTCCCCAGTGAGGGTGCGGGGTCAGGCGCCCGGCCGCACCTGCTGAGTGTGCCCGAGTTGTGCAGATACCTGGCTGAGAGCTGGCTCACCTTCCAGATTCACCTGCAAGAGCTGTTGCAGTACAAGAGGCAGAATCCAGCTCAGGTAACCTTCCCTACATCCTAGAACAGTTCCCTGGGCATGATGGGGATGAGAGAAAAGTGCAATGAGCAGTGTTTACTGCAAACTTCCTGAATTGGTGGATTTGGTCGTCATCTTGGCTAGACTAGATCACTGAGTTCCTCAAGGAAATACCTATCCTTTTTGCCAGTTGGGTGGATTGCATAGATCGACATACTATTTTTCATGGACTGTGTGCTCTTCTCTGCAGTTCTGTGCTCGTGTCTGCTCTGGCTGTGCCGTGCTGGCTGTGCTGGGACACTATGTTCCAGGGATTATGATATCCTACATTGTCTGTGAGTAGGGTCTAGCCCTGCCCTCCAGAGCCCTCTCCTTTCTTCTTTACCTTGTCTGTCACATGGGAAAACTGTGTTCTCTCTGCTTAGTTACCCATTTGTGGAGGTCTCCAAGCATTCTGTAGAACATCCCTGTCAACAGAAGCATCATCCTGGGAGGAGGGCAGTAGATAGGGGGTAGGGGGTGGGGGTGAGGGTGGGTGTGGGCTGTTAAGAAGGTGGTGTTGCCTTGGAAAAGGACCTCATCTTCTTCATATATAGGGACCAATTGAATGAAAGATCTTAGGAAACTGGTATATGGATCTCTGAGTGGACTTTCTAATCCATAGTGCTGAGTATCCTGCTGTGGCCCCTGGTGGTTTATCATGAGTTAATCCAAAGGATGTATACTCGCCTGGAGCCCTTGCTCATGCAGCTGGACTACAGCATGAAGGCAGAAGCAGATGCCCTGCATCACAAACATGACAAGAGGAGTAAGGGACTCTCTTAACCCAGGAGGGTAAAAGATGGGGAGGCCTTGGCTTATGGCTTATAATGGGCTCTGAAATTTAGATCATTTCCAGTTCCTTGACCATGTTTGTTCCCCACCATTGTCCTTGCTGGTCACTGCCTTATTGCTCTTCTCTAGAGCGGCAAGGGAAGAACTCACCCCCAGGAGGTGATGAGCCACTGGCAGAGACAGAGAGTGAAAGCGAGGCGGAGCTGGCTGGTTTCTCCCCAGTGGTGAGGTCCAGGGGAGATGGGGTATCAAATGAATAGAAACTGGGGAAATCTGGCTGCTTTAGAGCTGCTGTCTCTAGGTAGTGGGATGCAAAGGGCTTGGGGGCAGGGTGTTCTTATCCTCACTTGTGTTCATCCTGGTTCTTCTCCTACAGGTAGATGTGAAGAAAACAGCACTGGCCTTAGCCATTACAGACTCGGAGCTGTCAGATGAAGAGGCCTCCATCTTGGAGAGTGGTGGCTTTTCTGTGTCCCGGGCCACAACTCCACAGCTGACAGATGTCTCTGAGGGTATGGAGAGCTTTGTGTCTCTTGAGCTTCCTATTCTTCGTTGTGGGGTACTGGTTATGCTCTGGCTTTCCATAAAGGTTTCCTCCAGGGGAACTGACATTTTAATTCTATCCTAAGCTCCTGAAAGACCTTAACACTAATCCCTGGTCTAGTGTTCCGTGTCCTGAATTCTTAACTTCAACTCATTGGCTGTTGTGATGATCAGAGAAGTAGACCCATCTCTAACCCTTTCTTCTCTGCATAGATTTGGACCAGCAGAGCCTGCCAAGTGAGCCAGAAGAAGCACTGAGCAGAGAGCTGGGGGAGGGGGAAGAGGCAGAGTTGGCCCCTCCTGAAGACCTTCTAGGCACCCCTCAGGCCCTCTCAAGGCAAACTCTGGACTTGAGAGAGGATGAACAAGCAGATGTGACAGCCAAGGAAACCTTGCTTCGGCTCTCATCCCCTCTTCATTTTGTGAACACACACTTCAATGGGGCAGGGTCCCCCCAGGATGGAGTGAAGTGCCCTCCTGGAGAACCAGTGGAGATGCTGAGCCCAGAGGCAGTGAGTGGTGACCTCACAGCTCCGCCCAGCACCCTCTCACCCCAACTTTGCCTCGCTGAAAATGACCCAGTTCCCTCCCCCAACCCCTTCCCCTCTGTGCTCCCACCTCTTCCCCAGGACTCACCCCAATCCTTCCCTGCTCCTGAGGAAGAAGAGGCACTCGCCACTGAGGACTTTGAGTTGCTGGATCAGGGGGAGCTGGAGCAGTTGAATGCAGAGCTGGGCTTGGGACCAGAGACACCCCCAAAACCCCCTGATGCTCCACCTCCTCCTTCCATGGGGCAAGACACCCATTCTTTGCTACAGTCAGACCAAGAGGCTCAGGCTGTGGGTGAGCCGTGAGTCACGAGGGAAGGAGCTGCGGGCACAGTAGGGCTTCCTGGCTAGGGGTTCACTGTTTCCTCCTTTCCACCACTCTGAGGAGGGGCAATGTGTTGGGAAGTTGGCTGTCAGTAGCCAACCCACCTTCTGCCTGCCTGCTTGCCTGCTGGCCTAGGCCTGGTGCAGTACCTGTGCCTAGGATTGGTTTTAAGTTTGTAAATAATTTTCCATTTGAGTTAGTGGGTGTGAACAGGGCTAGGGAAGTCCTTCCCACGGCCTGCATTTGCCTCCCTGCCTCATCTCTATTCTCATTCCACTATGTCCTAAGCCCTGGAAATCTAACCCTTTCTTTTTCCTCCTATCCTCAGGGACCTGTGCTGCTCTGCCCTCATGTCCTACTGGTTGTTTAGTTCAGGCACTTTATAATTTTTCTATCCTATTCCACATTCCCTGAGCTTTCATGTCCCTGCTGTGTCCTGTCCTTAGCAGCGCAACCCCTGCCTTTTGCCAGCTACTACTTCCCACAGGCACTGGCCATGCTTTAGGGTGACTTCTGATCTAGGAGGTTAAGAGTAAACCTGCGGTGGTAGATCAGGCCAGTAGTTCCACACTAGTCACTGTAGCCTTTATAAACTACAC